GCACTGGGAAAACCCACCCCAGGGAGTTGCCATCTGCAAAGTTCACAGCTGGTCAGCAGCTCTCCAGCAGCCTGGACCCACCAGCCCAGCTGGAACAAGGCATCCAGCCCATTCCACCCATCCCCGGAGCCCAGACGCTGACCCTGGGGTGCAGGGAACCCAAGGGGACAGTAAGGAGGTGACACTGCATCTTCTCACCAGCATATCCCTCTCCTGTGGTCCAAAAGAGAGTGGGGAAACATATTGGGTTCTGGATCACCAGTGATGACTCCATTATGGGGTTCTCTGTATGGGACCTCAATGTGCTTCTGCATCCACTCTGCACAGTGCACAGCCCTGACCTCGGCCAGGTGCTGCATGGAGCCCTCTTGCTGCTGAGACCCTGCCAGCTGAGGCAGGGCTGGTATGGTCTCTGTCTGTGAGAGCTAGTCAGCTACACTTCCACCACCTCTGGTGGCACAGGCACTCAGCCTACTGCTCTGTCTGTGACTGAGTACAGTCCTCCACCCTACCTGTCTGGGGCCAGGGGGCTCCCGCCATACCTCGTGCTACACAGGCCCTGCACTCCCTTCCCCAGTGACACCATTACTCTGGATGCTGAAGCAGCACACAGCACAACACAGTGGTCAAAGTGGCAAGGGAGGGAAGGAGAATAGCCATGAGGATGCCCCTCAGGAGAGGGGCTGGGGGCATCCCTGCCATGACTCTGTGGCTGTTGGGGGTCTGAAATACGTGTTTGCATGTGTCGCCGAGGAGCTGGTGCCTCACTGGGTTCCCTTAGAGATACCCAGCCTGTTCACAGTGGCCTTAGCCGCCCCGGCTGCTGTGGGACTCCAGCTGCCCCTCAGGTCCCCAGGAACCTCTAGAGCATTCTCGAGTGCCAGGGACAGGGAAGCGGTGGCTGGTGCTGAGGGATTTGCGTGCGGATGTGCAGGTGTGTCGGGAGGAGTGTGCGCGCGCCAGGCTGTGCTCCGTGTCGGTGCTGCAGAGGTTGTGCGTGCCGGTGGATGCTCTGAGTGTGAGCTCGGGGGCACTGGCGTATTCTGGGCGCGATCTGAGTGCGGGAGGCAGATGTTGCGGGGTGCAGGTGTTGGAGTGCGTGTGAGTGCGAGTGTGAAAGCGAGTGCGGAAGCGGGGCCGCGGGGCCAGGGCGGAGCCGCCGCTGGCACCAGGCTCTGCCCGAGCGGCACTGGCACCGGGCACCGGCAGCGGCACTGGCAGCAGGGGCAGAGGTGGGACCGGCAGCAGCAGGGAGAGCTGCCCTCGGCCCAGGTGGGGTCCCGCCGGCGCGGAGGGATCGGGGTCCGTCCGGGAGCGGAGCGGGGCGCTGGGGACCCCGCACAAGGCTGAGCTGGGGACCCCGCACAAGGCTATCTCTGGCGGGGCGGGGCGGGGCGGGGCGGGGCGGGACGGGACGGGACGGGAAGGGATGGGTGGCGCGGGGAGCGACTCCGGGGCCAGGGCAGCCCCCCGGGGCACAAACATCCGTGCCCGCCGCGGGACAAAACAGTGCTCGGGCCACCCGCCGCTGCCCGGGTTGGGCACAGCGCGGGAGGTGGTCTGCCTGGAAGGTGCTGGCGGGCAGTGTGGGCTCCCGGAGCAGCTCGGAGGCTCTGCCCTGTGGCCCTGAAGAGTGAATGAGGCAGCTGTGCTGCACGAAGGGGGAGCGGAGGCACCCTCAGCCAGGACAGCAGCAGAGCCAGCCCGGGGATTTCCCACTGCAGCAGAGTGCAGGCTGCCTGCTCCCCGTCCTTTTCCTTGCTCCTATCTGTCTATATCAACAGTTGTCCCTCCCGACACTGCTATCTGTCCCCTTACACTGCCTCCTCCTGCCTTTCTTGACCTTCCCTGGCCGCAGGAGTTGGCTGTGCTGGCTCACAGCTTCCCTGGCACGACATGCTGCCTGCCTTCATTGGGACTCTGTGTTGGACTTTTTGTTAACCCCACCAGCTGGTACTGGGAACCATTCTCCCAAACAATTCCCTACCAAATCCTCGTTAGAAAAATCAGGTCTCTTGAGTCCCAACTTTGCCATTGATTGGGTTCTCATCCCTGGGAATATTACTTTCTCCATCATATCGCCTTTGCCCCCGCTAGCCCTGAGCAGCAGATGTGGGAGAGTAAACCTGGCTGCCCATGCTCTGCATCATCCTTCCTCTCAGAGCAGTTGTCCCTCTCGCTGCTCCTCAAGGCTATTCATTACCAAGTGAAACTCTGGAGCATTGACATACACCTGTTCACAAAAAGGTATGAGAAGGTTGCAAAATGCTTCCAAGGGACAACAGAGCCATGGGGATGAGTGGCAGTTTCCCAAGAAGATCCTAAATAGGGACCTGGAGACATCCCACTCTGCCAGAAATGCTCTGAATGACTGTCTTAGCATCTCAGTGCCCCAGCACCAGTGTCACAGTTCATGTCTGTCACTTCAGAGACCTTGCTCTCACTCCATGTCTGTCCTGTCTGCAGGCAGGACTGTGCACAGAGGAGTGAATCAGAGCTAACCCAGCAGAGATTTGTTTCTCTGATGCATCAATGAGTTCCCTGATCCAGCTGGTTGCAAAGCCATCTCTTCATGCTCGCTGTGTCTCAAGTCCTACCCGTAAAAGGGGACTGAAGCACTATTTTGCCTTCACGACCCTCTGGGTCATGAGCCACAAGCAACCAGGGAGAACCTCAATGCTGTGGCCATGGTACAACTACCATCCCAGCTGGCACTTTGCTCCTGGCCACTGATTGTCCCCCAAAAGAATTCACAAATCTTCCTGAACTCCCATTCCTACAGGTTCAAGAAATAAGCTTAGAGCTGAGGGGTGAATGACAACAGAAATGGTTCCCTGACAGACATAAACAGTTTTTCCAAGTAAAGGATGAACTGCTCACTTAAACATCAAGGAGTATCAAATTTGGACTGCAAGCAGGCTATGTGATGTGCTATTACTTCAAAGTGATGGCACTGCAGGTTGCGCCAGGGAGGGGTGTCTTCCTTGCAGTTGTTGCCTTCCTTAATTTGCAAGTGAGGGTGCCGGTATTTCCCTGTCATTTTGTTCTCTTTAGAGCAGTCTTTGAGAAGGGCTGACTAGCAGTTCATCTGCCTTGCAAGAGACAGAGCAAAGAAAGAGGGTGAGCTTGGGAATGAGAATGATGGAGGGGAATGCAGAGTGAAGCAGCCAGAGACTCTACCAGGCAACACAGACACTGTCTGGGTAGATAATAAGACAATGCTTGTTTCTAGCTGTCAGCTCTTCTCCAGCTTTGCTAATACCTTTCACAGCCTCATGGAAAAAGGATCTCAGTGCCACAGCCTTGCATGGCACATCATCCCAAGCACAGCCTAAGCCAGTGCAATCAACTAGATGTAAGAATGAGCAATTCAGTGGCACTCTGAATTGCTCCTCCCTGCACACAGGGAAGCTCCCTGGTCCCAGAGGAGTTGAGCAGCATAGGAGACCAAGGTCCTGAACCAGTGTCTTGCACCAGACCCTCTGGCAGGCTCCCATACATCTATCTTTCCTGGTCCTTCCAGGCCCTGTGTAAGCTCTCCTGCTTCCCACACATCCATACTGTGAGGGGTACTCTTCTCTTAGGTGAGTACCTGACACTGCCATTGGAATTTGTTTTGTCCATACACTGAGGAAGATCTAGAAAAATAAGTAGTATGCACTTCAGTACTGGCCATCCCAGCTTTCCAGAGGAAAGCTCATCCCTCTGCCACATAGGCAGCATTCATGGAGCTCTAGATTACTATAAAACAGTAGAGTCTAAGCCAGACATAAAATTTGTGTGCTGCATCTGCCACAAGGCAAATTCGCATTCAGCATAACTTGAGGTCATCCCTGTGAAACCCCCTCTGTTTCAGGATGGGTCGGGGCAATCAGAGCAATCCAATGGTCACAAATGAGGGGCAGTGACCTTTTGGGTCCCAGGGAGTAGAACCAGCCCCCAGACAGCAGTAAAAAGCCTCTGAGGCTTTATGATGCTTTGGCTTGTGCATTCATGGACATCATGGACATTATCCTGTGGGAATGGCCTCCTTACAGTGTTCCTGCTTCAGGCACTGGCACTGCTGGTGCTCCCTGGGGAGCATTCACTAATTCCCAAGCCTGAAAGAGCGCACAAGCTACAGGCTTGGTTCTCGCACAGTCTCTGCAATCTCCACACTCATGGTGGCCTTGGGCCATACTCTGCTAACCACAGCACATCCCTACAAACACTGCACAGGGGGGAGAACCCAGGCCATGTTTTATTCAAGAGAAGCTGTGTATGGAATATTTGCTCAGCTTCAAAACTCAGAAATATGCAGACAGATTTCTATACCTGTGACAGAAAATCTGGGTTTTCCAGACACAACTTTGCCTTCTGCTTGCAGCCCAAATGCTTATTCTGGGGGCAGGGGAATGATATGAAAAGCCCAAGCACTTGGGAGAGCTGCCCTGTGAAACACAGAAAGGAAATATGTATCTGGGTCGCTCAAACCAAAGAAGGAGGGGTCCCATTAGAGCTGTCTTCAGAAAGTCCCCACCTGGGCACAACATAGGAGCTGCGAAGTAGCTGTCACCGCCAAAAGCATTTCCAGGTCCATGCCTAGTATGTGAAGTTTATTCTAAGAGCAGGTACCAAAAGAGCTGAGAGCAGGAGAGGGATAAAAATCTGCATGTCAGTAGTGGGGAAGCAACATCTTGGCTTGTCCAGACCACAGGTTTGGAGCTGGAGCCCCACTGGTGGAAAGAATATCACACCCCTCCTGCCGTCAGCTGGACCAGCTGGGAGGCAGAAATCCTGGCTCCATTCTCCCACAGAGGAGAAAGCTGGGGACAGATGCCATCCTCTTCTCTCCCCTAAACCTCACCGCCAGCATCATCAGTCCAAGGCAGCATTTGAACATGGGATGTGGCTTCATTTCAAGGACAGAACGGGGAAGCAGGACACCTCTTGCCCCCAACCAAGCCTACCTGTCCTTCAGGCAGCAGTGTCCAGAGGAATCTGCAATAAAGGATGTGGGTCACAAAGCTGGGAACAGGGCTCTGTGTCTCCAGTGATCCAGTGGGCCCACCAGCCAAACTTACAGGCTAGGCAATGTTTCTCCAGTCTCTCACATCTTTCTCTGTCTTATGCCAGGCTCCTGCGTCTCACAACAACACAGAATGACAGAGCACGAGGACTTCGTGAACTTGGCTGGGTACTGGAACTCCTCTGACAATTACCAGTTCAGCCCTACCAGGGTTATTGTCCCTGTGGTCTTCTCCCTCATCTTCCTCCTGGGCACAGTGGGCAACAGCCTGGTGTTGGCTGTGCTGCTGCGCAATGGGCAGAGGGGCCACAACACTACCAACCTCTTCATCCTCAACCTCAGCCTGGCCGACTTCTTCTTCATCGTCTTCTGCGTGCCCTTCCAGGCCACCATCTACTCCCTTGAGGGATGGATCTTTGGCTCCTTCATCTGCAAGGCTGTCCATTTCTTCATCTACCTCACCATGTATGCTAGCAGCTTTACTCTGGCTGCTGTCTCTGTGGACAGGTAATAATCTACAGGTGCCCTTAGGCTGGGGAAGGAAAGCAGTCTGAGTGGGCAGAGGGCATGGGAAGAGCATAGCCCACCACCACTAGGCAGACAATTCAAGCCCCAGTGGTATCAATGCATGCCAAAGGTAGTTTGGGGACCAGTTGTGTCTCCTTTGCCCGAATGACTTGCAAGAAGCATTTCCAGATCTCTCAAGTGCAGATCTTTCTGCAGGAAAGATCTCCCCACGGTTAGAGCACTTGAGACCCAAGCTCGGCTCCCCACTGTGCCCCAGACTCGCACAGAGAGTCACCAGCTCTGCATTAGAGATGCTACTTACAGGGTTACAGCTGTCCCTGAGCCACCATTTCAGAAAAGCATCCTGTGCAGTAGCAAGGTCAACAGGGCACCACAGCAGGAGCCACATAAATAGGCAGGAGAGACCCCAGTCCTGCAGTAAACATCTCTCATTTCTCAGGGACTGCCAACTCAGCAAAAAAACTTGTCACCAAGCAATTCCTGTCCCCACCCTGCCCCCAGCCCTTCTGCATTCTGCCCAGAAAGGCACCCGCACCACAAGCCCAGTCCCTTCTTGGAGGTCACCTAGGACATGCTGGTCCCTGACTGGTGTCACCTACATTGTTCCTAAGGGCTCTGTAAGGCAACTGTGCCAGCTACCCTTCTGACTAGGCCCCCGCTTCTGGGCCAGGTTGAAGAAGAGGTCCCCACTGGGATAAGCTCCAGCCCTGACTGCACTAGGGAACACATCCCAGCCCACCTTGCTCCCTGTGCTTGCTTCCAAGGTACCAAGAAGAGACAGGGCCAGACGGCCCTCTGCAATGAGAGGTCCACAGCCCTGCAGGCAGAAGGAAACTTCAGCCCATCACCCAGTGAAGTTACCCTGGGTCTTAAATCTTCAGTTCAGACCTCCTTCTGCTGAGCAGTGGCTATCTGCCTCGTCTCCACAGAAACATCTCTGTGCCCAAGCTCAGGGACATAACCCACCCTACCATACCTGGAGCAGGGAGCCAGCTGTGGCCAGAAAGAGATGCATCCTTGCTAGAAAGAGAAAAGCTGCTTTACCCAGGACTGTATGTCAAAGAGGGTGTAAGATAACATACATAGGGTCACTCTCTTGTCTCAGGAATTTATGTGACCAGGTAGAGCTTGGTTGAAACCTCAGTGCTGGTTGCTTTTCTCTCCTGCCCAGATACCTGGCTATCCGTTATCCCCTGCGCTCCCGGGAGCTGCGGACCCCCCACAGTGCAGTAGCAGCCATGGCTGTGATCTGGGGTCTCTCTGTTGTCTTTGCTGGGCCCTACCTAAGCTACTACGTCCTGATTGAGTGGGAGTCCAGCTACATTTGCATGCCTGGATGGGAGGAGTGGAGACGCAAGGTCATGGACACCAGCACGTTTGCCTTCGGCTACATCATCCCAGTGCTCGTCATCAGCCTCTCCTACACCAGAACCATCAAGTACCTGTGGACAGCAGTGGACCCTCTGGAGGACATATCAGAGTCCAGGAAGGCCAAGTGGAAGGTAACCAAGATGGTCATCGTTGTAACCATCCTTTTCTGCCTGTGCTGGCTGCCCTACCACGTAGTCATCCTCCGATACCTCTATGGAGACCTCCCCTTCAACCAGGCCACCTACGCCTTCCGCCTGCTCTCCCACTGCATGGCCTATGCCAACTCCTGCCTCAACCCCATCGTGTATGCCCTAGTCTCCAAGCACTTCCGCAAGGGCTTCAAAAAGGTTTTCAGCTGTCTCTTGAGAAAAAAGCGCCACAATAAGGTACGTGTGGTGCATATTGCCCACATTGTGCCTGGATTTGGGGCAGCTTCCACTGAAGTGTCCCAGATGCACAAGGAGATTAATAGGCATGAGATGGACCCAGCTTCCGTGGCAGTCCCTTCTGGTTCCTCCAAGCCCCTTCATATTTCTTAGCGGCCAAACTCCATTTGCCAGCTCAGCTCTGTCACCAACTTCAGGCCACTCTTTCCCACTGGGTGAGAGGGGATGCTGGAAAGGCAAGCCAGAAACTGCTAAACACTGCTTCTGCCCTTGTCGTTCCTTCCCATTCCATGCACCAACAGTTCTCTTGAGCCATCTCCCCACCAGATGCTGAATGTGAGGAAAGAAATTGACCCAGGCTCACCCTGATCCTCAAACCGCCTGGATTCCAAGGATTAAAGCTCCAGCTACTATCTGGGCTCTCATCCAGCAGAATTCCACTGCTCCATGGCCCCACTGAACTGGGTCCTGTGCACAAGGGGAGCAGTTCAAGATGGAGTCAAGGCTCAGGGGAGAAACTCATGTTGTTTTAACTATGTGCATTTTGCTCTTCCTTCTGCGTTAAAATCATCTCCCTCCGGGAAAGCTTTCTCATTAAAATGTTCAGAGAAAAGATGCAAGCAGCCAGATTTAAAACAATGCCAAACACGGAGTCCCTTCTGCCTCCCACTGCCCCATGTGGCCAGACTGGCTCCCACAGGGAGAAGGGCAAGTGCAAAGGTGGTGTGGGAAGCACTTGGCACAGCCTGTGGATGGCTGCAGGGATGGCTTTGGTGCTGGTGCATTGCTCTCAGTGACTGAGTCCTCCTCTGGGATGTGGGGCAGGCCAGAGTCCTCCTCTGGGATGTGGGGCTCTCTGTGAGGGGAGGGATGTTGCTGCTTTACTAGAGACATCTTTCTAACCCAGAGCAAATAAATGCACTTCCCTCATCCAGGCAATAGTGGGGCCTGCAGTGGTAACCTGGGGTGCATTGACGCTGCCAGACTCAGCTCAGGAGCAAACGCAGCAGAGGAAACCTCAGGCTCAGGAGAAGGGGAAGGCAGCTGCTGCCTAAGGCTGGTCCTTTAGTCCCACTGAGCCCCTATTAACGAAACAGGAGCTTCCCCTTCCCTTCCATTTTGAGCAGTCTGGTGGGCTGTAAAGGGCCTTGGCAGGAGATGGGGCTCTCTGGGGCTCCTGATAGTTGTCCTGTGTGGCATCATCGTGTGGTGCCTGTGTCAAGACCAATGTCACTCATGCACAGCAGGCACTCCTCCCCTGGCTGGTCACCAAGGATTGCTGTTTCTAGTTCAGGCTCTGGGGTCATGAATAGGTATGAGTTTTCCAGGAAACAATTCCAGCAGAAGCCCTCTGCATCCCATTCTTCATTAGTGTTAGTGAAGTTCTGCAGCTACCATGCTTGTGCAGGTAACCATACTTCTGCAGCCAGCCATACAGTCTCCATCTGCTCCAGCTCATCAGTAAACACCTTCTCTGCCTCACCTTCACACTTAAGGAACCAAGCTTGATTTTTCTCTGCTGGGATCAGATTGATAGCTGTGGTCTTTAGCAAAGCTCTAGTTACTGCTAGGGCTTTCTTACCCAAACTCTTCTCCTGGGGGAAAAAAAAACCAAAAAAAAAAACAGAAAAAGAATTTTCTGTGAAGGAGTCACCAAGCAAGAACTTACCAAACGGAGATGCACCTGCCATTGCTCATTGGTCCTGCTGGCAAAGGCACAAAGAGCTGTAGATGAAAGACGAATGCTGAAAGGCATTTTAGATTTTTTGCTGTCTGTAGGAAGGTGACTGCAGATTTTCCAGGGAATTATCTGAATTTATTCTCCTGTGGGATTCACTCCATCACTGCATCCCCGAGAGGAGAACATTGTGTCCCTCAACCTCATTCACCTAAGCCTGTTATCTGGGTCGACCCTGAGGCCAGCACACTGAGTTAAACTGCTAAGGGCAATTTCAGACACTTGGCTGTCAAGCTAGAGCTGGAAGTTACCTGGGAGTTGATGGGAAGAGACAAAGTGGGATGGATGGAGTTGGGGCCTGGGGTATCATCCCTGCCTGGGAAGCATACAGCCTCTACTCACCCTGCATACAGACAGTAGACCTTCATCTGCACATGCTCAAACAGAGGAGAAGCTTTTCCTCTCAGAATAAAATCCATGTTTGTGTGCAAAGATCAAAAGTAAGCATTTCAAAAGAGATGGCAGCAAGATGGAGAAGGTGCATCAGGAAATAGTACCTAAGTCTTCTTAAACACAGAAATGCTCTCCAAACCGATGAAAATTCAGCTTGCACCACAAGAAGAGTTCCTGATGTGCTCAGACCAGGAGAGACTTTTCAAATGGGATTTGAATGGAAGAGTTCCATCTAAAGTAACTGCATTTGTTCCCACCAAATTAACCCTTGGTTACACACAGTTTTCTCAGGAAGCTCTGGAAATTACAAGCAAGAGGTGCCCCAGGTGCCTTGGTGCATGGCTTGCTTGCTTCTGTTGTCTTGCTAACCACACAAGCAACTATGTCCAAACGCAAAGATTTTAATAGGTGTGGAAACCCACAAATGTTGTGTAGGTATCACCCACAGCTCCTGTGACAGAGGCTCAGTGCTGGGCTTACCAGTGGTTTTGCACCTACTGAGTGGCTGCCATTCCTCTATTCCTGATGTATCTGCTTCTCCCTGGAGAAAACCAGCTGCTTCAGCTCCTCTGTACCAGGGAAGGGACACTCACCAGGGGCCAGGGGTAAGCAGGGACGCAGAGGGGCAGCTGGGAAGCTTCCTATCATCAAGTTTGGTGCCAGCGCTCTGCAATCACCTATTTCACAGAGCACCCCCGAATTCCACCCCCATGTTTGGAGTGACTGCAGTAGGGTGAGCTCCGTAATGGCAGGTTTGATTACCAGCAGGCAGGCACTTATCTGTTGGCTCAGCAACCAGAACTGAATCAGACACTGATTCAAAAGAGGAAGGAGATGCTTCCTTTCTCAGGGCTTCCATGCAAAGACTTAAGCCCTGCTGGCCCCTGTGGCTCAAAGTCTCTCTCTACATAACAAGTCACTCACAAGCAGAATGAGGTCCCATCCTGAGCCACCAGGGCGATCAGGCAGCTCCACATGGGGATGCGTCTGAGTGCCAACTATGGGGCGAACCCCACATGGAGCTGCAGGTCCCAGGGGTCCAGGTGCCAGCAACTGCAGAGACCTGTCCTGGGCACGGCAGGGATGACTAGCAAACCTCAGGTCAGAGTAGCCAGCAAGTAGGACAGGCAGAACTGTGAAAGGGCAGTTCCAAGCATCAAGTGCTAAAATCAAGGTTACAAATCGGGATTTGAAGGTGCCAGCAAAGATGCCCCCTCTTATCTGTGCTAGTCTGTCTGCAGCTGGGGATATCTGTGCATAGTTGTGCTCATTCCTGTGCAGATTCATCTTGGTTTTCCAACTATAAAGTTAATTTCTACTTCTTTTCTGGTCATTCAGTGGGTTTTTTTTAAGGAATGAAAGATACACAGGGCCTAGTGGAAGTCTGAGGAACTTTCATCAGCAGAGAGGTTTTTCTCTTAGAATAAAATCCCTCCTCAAAGTGCCTCTGTGCTAGAACTTCTGGGATCAGAAGACCAGCAATCTGAAATTGCAGAGAAACATCCTCAACTCTGCCAAACTTGCCCAGCACAGCCTCCACCACCTCCAGCCAGGACTCCCAGCCCCAGGGCAGCCACCATAACTGCCCATGCATTCATCGGTTCTCTCTCTCTGCCTACATGTCTCTCTCTTTGGTTTGAAGGATCAAACCAATCAGTCAAGTCCCAGAACTTGACTCTGCTGCCCGGATGACACTTCCTGGTCTGGTCCAAGTGTCTCAGATCACTACCTTTCCGGGGGTGTTTGGACCACTTCTTTGGTTCTCCCATGTCATTCCCACATTAGCAGAGGGAGAATTATCCTTCTGTCACACAAGTACTCTACGAGAACATTCCTCTCCCAAAGAACCAAGGTTTTTCACAATCACAGTTCAGTTCCCAACAGAAAAGGATGTTCAGAAAGGTGACCATAGTAACGTGGGATCTGTACAACACTCAGTGGTGGGTGCTAATGGTGTCCTACCACCCACCTTGCACACTTGGGTTAATTCACACTTGAACTGCAGCAGCTCAATCATGAGCATGCTCAGAAAAAGGAAACGTAAAAAACCATGTTAATAGCCATTAGAGACAAAAAGGGACCCACATGTCCTGCCCTGAGAACCATAGCTCATCGCTGCAAGGCATGCCAGGCTGATGAGCACAACAGTCCCAATTCCCAGCTACCTCCTTAAGCTGAATTAAGGGTTGGGACCCACCCAGGGGCTCAGGACAAGGGTTGTGATCAGCAGGAGCTAATCAGAGCCCTACCACCTGAAACACAGCAGGAGCAGCAGAGGTGAATGCCTGGCCCCAGGCACCATCCCACAGCAGTCCCTCTCAGCAGCATATCAGGGAAGCCCTAGGGTAAGTATATGCCCTTGATGGCAGAGGCAGTCACTGGCAATGCCTGTCAGTCACCCCTGTGACTGTTCACTCAGTCACTGCTCCAATTTTGCTGTATTTCTGAATGAGCTCATGAAATAAAGTTTAAATCACAGAGTACACTGTCCTGTAAATTTGAGAGATCCAAACAGATCATCACATCCCTCCCAGCAGAGTGCACACTGGGCTCCCAACAGGCTCTGCAGTTGCTGCTTTCTGGAGAGCACCAGTGGCACTCAGAAATGCTGGAAATGAGATTGCCTTTGTCAGGTTATTCATAGTTGTCTTACAGTGGTGAATAACTTGACAGAACTCATTTCTTCCTGATGTGCATGAGAATGAGCAATATTCTCAAGCTTCTTTGTCATCTGGATATACCTTGCTGGACAGGATGACTGCGTTGTCACCCAGGGTGAACAGTAATGCCCTGAGATGTGCCCATTCACCCAGAGAGATGAGCACAGCACCCATTTCAACCCCAGCCCCAGTAACAAGCCATGGCAGAGCCAGGAGTCACCCCACTCTGAGGGGAGCACTGGGAGCTCACCTGAACCTGGGGGTTGAGTTTTGGTTGTCCTCGGGACAAAGCTCAACACAGCACTGCCACCGGGAGTTTTGCCCTAGGCTGTCTGGTTTTGCTCTGTGTTGCGATGATTTGGACACACAGTGTTCTTCCCAGGTGAAAGACCATTTGCTTTCCCTGGCTGATACTGAATGGCTTGTAAATTACCTGAATTACAGCTCTCTCCCTTAATGTCAGACACAGACTGGTACTAACTCACATATATTGGCATAGACACGCACCATCATTTAGCTGGGTGGCTCGTACAGGGACCTGGCAGATTAATAAGTGCAGTGGTGGTACAGTCAAGGAGGAGATGTGAGTCCTGGAGATTTCAGATGGGATCAGTAAGGATAGGAGCAGACAGATGTCTCCCATGAGCATGGAGCCTGTCCTCTGGATGGGCTGGGCTTCATCCTCCCATGCCTGCTTCTCCATCCTCCCAATATAT